ACACACACACACACACACACACCTGTCTCTACTAAGGACAGTTACCAACAGGACAACAGGACTTCAGAGGAGGTGTCACTGGACCTCACCTGAAGACACTTTGCAACCAGCTAGCAGGAACAGAAACAGTGAAATGTGGTCACATGCCAGAGCAGCATCAGCACCAGTGATAACAGTGTCTGTCATCTGCCCGGAAACAGGTGACTGTGACTCACACATGAACCAATGAAACAGAAGGTCGGCAGATTTATCACCAGGGTCTAATTCGAATGTTTCACACTCTGTCCGGTTAAAGTAATGAAGCGACTTTACAGCAGAGTCCTCTGAATGCTTCATTTATGAATAATCAGCTTCAGAACTGATCATGTTATTGATCGTATGGTCTCAGAAGAAACCCTTCTAACAAACACACATGTACTTTGCATGCCCATCATCTGCTGCATGTCAGCATGTTTTCAGTCCATCAAATGATGACAGTCTACTAAAAATGAATTGCTGACATGTGATTCATGCTGGTGATCCAGACTGTTGTCAGAGTCTGGATGTGAAAGATCTTCAGGAGAGCAAACAGGCTTCACCTGAGAGATCGAACACCTGCTTAAACCCTGGATGTCAGATTAATCTCCAGGCCCTTCAAACTCAGAGTTGCAGGTTGTTTTAATGTCAGTCAGGGTTAGGGTCCTGCCGGTGAAGAATCAGCTGTAATGGTGATGAAATGAAGAAGCAATGGGGTGAAGCTGCAGGAACTCGTATGTCCTCCTGTGATGAAGAACAGTTCAGTTTATCCTGATGCCTCTAAAAACACTGAGAACATTCCTGTGGAAGCTGATCAGTCTGGAGGAGACTTGGAGGCTGATGTTCTACAGACTACAGTGAATCTTGTGGAACATGTGTAAGGCCTTGAATCTTTGGGAAGTTTTAAGGAAGCACTTGTAAATCTGCTGGAGACTTTCAGGTCGCCTTCTGACGGTCAGTAAATCCTTTGGATGCTATTTAAAGCCCTTTGACTCCTGATTGTCGTCTGCGTTTCTAAGAGTCACTCTGCTTTATTGCATATTTCAGAGTCACAGATTCCTGTGATGCTTTCAAAAGCAGCAGAGTTCTGATCTTCTCCCTGAGGCCTGCAGGTATCCAGCTGACTGAGGGTCGGTACATTCGGCAGAACTGTGAGGTCCAGAGGTGAGCCGGGTCTGATGCCGAATAGCAAGCTGTCACAGCGAAGCATTAAGGATTCAGTTGTTGGGTGTAAACATTTGTGGGAGGAGCTTCAGGTTACAGCTGGTTCTTCATTCAGAGTCTGAAGCCCAGGTGAGATCCAGACATTCAGACGAGGGATGTCCTGATCTGATCAAAGCAATTTTTAACGAACCTGTTGTTTAGGTCTGCTGTCACTCAGATGTTGTACAGAGGATGTTACTTCAGAATCTTTCTCTATCAACAGTCAGTCACTACTACAGGTCCGTCACAGCGTTCACTTGTTCTGTTCATGTTACTGAGAGATGTTACTGTTTTAGATCACGAACAAAATATGTCCTTCAGTTATGTTCAAGGTCATGAACCTCCTCAGAGTCTCTGTCATGGTCCCGCTGCTGCTAAACTCCCACAATGCTCTCTGCTGCCACCATGAGCTGTAGTCTGGAGACGCCTCCTCTGGTCTCTACAGGA